AAATAATTACACGTATAATTTTACGATTTTTTATTTTTTTTTTTTTTTGATTTTTACGACAATTCATACTTACCTATATTTATTAATAACTAATTTTACAAAGATTTTTTGCGTAACGAAATATTACTTATATTTAAAGTAGACAATTGTATAATAATTTTTATTTATAAATTTAATAGTAACTAATTTATACAGTAAAACCTTTTTCGTATAATCGATATATTTTTAATATTTATTCTAGTTATACTTTTATTAACGTTATGTATTAATTAAAATCTACTATAAAAATCAAAATAACTACAATCGAAAGCAATTTGAAACAGTTTTAATGTGAAACTAAAATAATGAAATACATACCTATTTTATGTACACATTGAAATGTAATTTCATTGCTGTTTCAATATTTGATTTATCTTTAGTAATAACACATTATTTTTAGCATAGCAACTGCATAATTAATAAAAAATTCATCAAACTTGAAACTTAACTGATACTGTAATGTTAAAAATTTTCTCATTTTGCAATAAATTCATGATAGTCACGTACACTCAAAAGGCCAAAAGCAAAGGTTTCGACTTTTATGATTTCAAAAATACGGCTAGCGTTCTTTATATTTTAAAATTATATATTAACATGTATGAAAATATACAAAGTGAAAGCCAACATCTGTACAGATTTTCTTTTGATATTTATTTTGTACTAGTGCTCATTAACATTCATACTATGAATTCATATGGAATTTGCTGAACGCATCCAACATGCATTCCATTAGACCAATATAATTTTCCCCATAGTCCAAATATCCTTGCACTAGGCTCAATTTCTAATTTCTTATCCCGATCGTGAAAACAACATATTCTTAAATACAGATATCTTAAATCATAATATAATAAAACAATGCACACAGCAATAATTTATTTTATTATAACGAATTCGTTGCATTATATCAATATACTCGAAACAATGCGTAGCAATTTAATCATATATTATTAAAATGCTACGCATATATATTATTATATATATATTTATCTATATTATATATATATATATATTATCTATATTATATCTATATTTTTAATTTTAATTTTAAACGTACCTATTCATTTTACACCAAGTTCAAATCATATACTCAGTATAAGCTTATTTCCATACATTTGAAAATTATAATTAAATGTCGGATCTGAAATTATTTATTATTTTCTTATTTGATTGGACAAAATTTGATTACTAATGAATAAAACAAATGAACGATCTGATACACATTTGTATTTTTATAATATTGAAACACGCTTGTTGTAACTTTTGTAAAATTAAAGATTACTTCTACAAAAAAATATTTACCTATTATCAAAATTAATAAATATCACACACCTAACTATTGTCGCATAATCATACAAACAAAAATTATTTATACAACATGTATATAATATTTATCTTGGTACATAATAATTATTAAGTATTACAGATTAAATAAAATATAATTTTTAATATAATAATATAATCTGTGGTATTATTATGTGTACATATAACATTTTAGTTGTTTATACGATCGCGTTTCGATGATTCGTGAATAAATCCGTTACAACAGTGTATAACAGTGTATTATATTTTATGTTCCTCGATATGCGCACTTAAAACGATTATTACGGAAAATAAAACAAGACGTGGAATGGGCTTTACGTCAAAATAACACCGAAAAAAAGTTTATTGCATCGATAGAACAAGTCATTTGCATGGTAATCGCAACGAAATGATCGCCCACCATAGGCGGTATATTTGATAAAAGAACATGAAAACACACGCGTGAAACCATCGTTAGTCCGCTATCGTCAGCCGGGCAGAGTAATTTGAGGTATTAAGTTTATAAAAAATAACAACACGCGCGGTCAATTGGAGATTTCCTCTCTTTTGATATAATATAGGCGTATTACAATGCAAGGAGGTACAGCGACGGTAGCGCAATTACTCGACGATGATTTCGCACACAATAGTCGTATGGAACTAACGAAATGAAAACGTAAAAGATTAACACCCGTCCGTCTGTGTTCGGGACAACGCGATAATACGAGTCTTATAATCTCTACCCAATCGATCACCGTGTTAACACCGACACTATCATTACGCACGAATCGTTCAGAATTGATATGTTCAAAAAGTAATAATTATAATAATAATACAATCGTTTTACGCTATAAGATAGGTCAAATACACAACCGTAGGAGTGTGTATAAGATGCATGTGGATTGCAATGATTGACCCAGATGCCGTTCGCGAATGTGGGCGCTTGAACGGTTAGTGGCTGCTAAACACGTTGTACCAATGAGAATAGGTATTTGTTTTATTAATTTTTTTTCATTATTCTTCGCGCGCGAGACAATAAAGGAAACGTATTTTTAACAGTCATCTGCTAACCAACGACATTATTCGATTGTGTCGATCATGTTCGTCACCTGCAGTGGCGTACATTCGGGGGAGAGGGGGAGTCCGTGTTCAAACCCCCCCTAGGGCCAAAAAAAAAAAAAAAAGAAAATTATTTTATTATTGACGACGTGTAATATATTTGTAGCTTCATTATTACGCTTTGAACTTAAATTATACAACTATACAAATATTATAATAATTAAATAATTATATTGATAGATGTTTGAAAAGTTTTGTTAACTATGCTGTTTTTATATTCCAATAGCTATTAATTTACTGTAATGTAAAAGTAAACTGTAAATTGGTAAAAAAATTGTATAAAATAATATCTATTCATAGCAATTATTTATCTATGAAAAAAAAAAAAGGATTACGATTATTTTTGTTAAATCCCTTCCCAGAGCAAAATTGAATGTATGCCACTGGTCACCTGTGTCCGCAAATAATCACGTCCTATTGCAACTTCGGACATCAAGCGACCAGGCACTACAATATTACACGAATAATGTTTATCATCTTTATAATTTTTCTTTTTCGATTCGGCAGGTTCGATATGCAAAGAAGAACGGTCGAATAGTTGTCGCGGAACGTTCTTGCTTTTTCACATTGCAACCTAGAGATTGCTACGACTCTGCTCGAATACCGTTGTACATACAATTAAACGTCACGACAATTTAATAAATATACACGATGATAATTAAATATTTAACGCTGTGTATGAGAGCCGTCGTATTAAATCAACCAGGTATACGCATAATTGTACCGGTGATGATTATATAGGCGTCGTTCGGGACGCGCAAAGAACGTAAATACTCATATGGAAATTTAAAATTCATATTACATGGTAATTTGACCAGCATGATGGTTTGGCTTAAAATATACTATCTACTATAATTGTCTTCTTCTCAGTTCATGTAAAACTGATTATTTCTAGACCGCAATCAATTAAAATCCATTCCGAATAATATTGATATATTTCCAATGCTCATTAGTTACAGATTATATTTTTAAATTTTTTAACGTTGTTAAAATTTATTATAAATGTTAAGTTGTGGTAAATTGACCAATTATTATTGATCAACTGATTCCGATCAATATTAAATGTTGTTACCTCAAGATAATCCATTTAAATGGCGAAATGCTACTATTTTGAATATTTTATAACCAACGTAGATGACTCTTAGGATAGATATAAGTAGAAACGGAATATTCTTAAATTATAAGTTACTAACTGTGGAAATAAAATTAATAATGATAATAATATTAATAAAATAATTTGAATAAAAATAATAATTCTATAATATTGGAGAAAAATTATTTTTTTACTTTTTAAATTTAATAAAATAATAGATAAATTAATATATTCTTACACGAAATAATGATTGTAAATACAATAACAAGGGTAAGGCTTACAAATTATAAATTATTCTTAGTAAGTACGCAAACTTAATCAACAAAAAAAACTTATCAAGAATAAAACTTATTAAGAAATGGTAGTATACTTCTAAAAATTAATTTATTGCAAAAAAAATATACATAGGTAGTAAAACCGTCGTCCATAACTATAACTTAACGGTGTACAAATTAAACAACGATGTACGTACGACATAAGTTATTTGTTAATATAGACTAAACGATATAATATTGTTATTCTGGCACGTATATTAAGAACGTTAAGAAACCTAAGAATATAATGGTACATAAAAATTTTGTATTTTATCGTTGTATTTTATACTTTTTCTTTCATAAGCTTTAAAATTAATTTTAAAATATTGTACATAGTTATATAACATTCGATAAAAAAAATATAATAACAATATAACGTCATATAATTTCTGATCATGGCGGTTAGAAAAAATAATTCATAATATTTCCTAGCAACAATGCACCAATTATTAATGCTCTTTGTCAACAGGAACACGAAAGACGGTCAAAATGAATAAATAACAATAATACGGTAAATATTATAGATATCACCTATAAACCTATTACATATACACCAATGGTATACACCCAGTTTTCATACTGAAAGGAAAAGAAAATTTATTTTTATTAAATCGTTGTTTAGCTTCAGTATCAGGTAGAATCGTCGGCCATATATGGGTCGGGTGCCAAAGTCCAAACGAAATCGAAACTGTACGGAATCTAAATATAAATTCTGAGATGGTATTTCTTGTATTTTTTTTTTATTTCATTTAAACGCCCCACCCTGAAAATGGACCGATGGTATACCCAAGGCGACTTTATAAATAAAAAAAATGCCTTACCATAACCAGAGTCCGAGTTCAATCGTACAACAGTATTCAGCGCGCGTTCGGTGGCGGGGGGAAGCCGAGGAGTGGCCAAGGGGAAGGTGGGTGTTTTAAATATAGTACCATCGGTTTCAAACGGACGCCAAATACGGTGCAATCTCGAATTTCGTAGGAGTCACTGTTCCGCGGGTAACCACCGAGCCCGAAACGACGTTCAGTGCGTTAGACAGCCGAAATTGTACACAATATATTTAATAAATGTGAGCGCGGAAGGACAACGGATATTATTATATACACTTAATTAATATAAATATTTTGAAAACCGTCTAGTCATTTTTTAAGTGAAAAATTGTACTGTTTATATTTATTTTATTTATTTTTGTATAATTTTGGTTACTATTTTTCCCTAGTGCTCGTTTAACAGTTATTTTGGATTTAACCACACCATTTTAAGGTATTTATTTATATATACACTATTTATACTATAGGTACAAATTCAACATTAACTGAGCTAAAAATGTAACATTAATTTAGTTGCTCTACAAAACTCCTAAGATTATTCACAATTATATATATTTATATACCCATACCATTATTTTTTTTTTATTTTTTTTTTTTTTTTTTAATGCAACGAAAGATGGATTTTAATATTTTTGCATTCTAAAACGAATAAAATAAAATAAATTATTAATAAAACATTTAGATCAGAAGATTGTTATCTAACCTATCTAAATTATACGTGCTTCACTTTTAGTAGTTTTTAATCTTATACTTATAAAATAATAAATAACAATCAATAGCATAAAATTAATTAAATTTATTTTATAAATTAATTTAATCGGTAAACGTAAGTAATCGAAACATTTTCATAATATGTGGTAATTTAAAACGTAAACTTTTATTGATAAATTTAAAGAAATAAAAAACTTATTCTCGAAGGGCTTAAATTTATGTTGGTCTGTGTATAGTAAATTATTTTAAACGTGACCGTTTTATTACGTTATTAGTCAATATTAAAAAAATAAACAAATAAAAAATAGTAATATAGGTAAATGTGATCGTAAAAACTAATATGCCATTGAATACAATAATAATAGTCATATGTTTTTAACACAAAACTCTGTAGTTAGGTTAGATTAAAACTTTAATTAAATTAGTGGTAAGCCATCATCTTTTATCCATCTAAATATAAAAGTAATACAAGAATTTGGTTAAAGATATTTTGTACCCAGAAAAAAACCAGAACAATGTTTCACTTTTGTATGATATAATACAAAACTGTATCTATGACAAATTGATTTATGTATATATTATATATACATAAATATAATATAAAATATGTATGCATAACAATCGCACGGTGGTCGTAATGTTCAACAGAAAAAATGAATACGTATTCAAAATAAAAATTGTGGATAAAAAACAAGTGTAGACGGGATGATCGGAAAAAAAAATAATATATTAAGTGTACGAGGTTACCGAGGTGGTAACTAAAATGCACTTAAATAGGTACATACTTAAATACTCGAATGAAAACTAAAAAAAGAAAACAAGAGAAAATTTCTAGAGCATGGTCTGGAAATGGTAGGAATAAAATATACATGTAAATATACACTATATACCGCGGTGGCGCTAAAACGATTCTACAATATTAACGTTCTTCCCCGTGCTACATTTATGGTATAACCTACTATTCTACGTATATTTTATAATTTATAAAACGCTAAATTGTTCACCGTGTATGTGTTCAGTGTGTATAGAATACGTATGTAGTTTTCCAAAAGGTAAACGTCGTTTAGGTGCTTTTTACGTTATTAGCTCTTAAATTATTTGCGTAATCGATTAATATGATAGGTGGTGGTAACGTCATGTCGTCAATCTGACCAAAGAAATACCTGCTGCACGAATAGTAAACCGAGATGGTTTTAAATCAAACATTATCGGTTGAATGATTGTACTATTGTATTAATAATTATTGAGAGAAACACAATAATATCTCGTCGTCGTTTGTAATAATAATACTGCGATGATCAAAATGCATTCGATAATCATTTTTTATCTACATTTTTGAAAACTTATGATTACTTACCATTAATTTTCAACTAGCATATTACAGTCACTCATGGGAACTAATAATTTAATATATAAAATAATGTATTTAATAAAGAGTATAGTACTTATTTATTATATTATTTAAATTATTACAATAATTGTAATAAGTCTCTCTAAGTCTCTTACGTTGATCGGTTTTAAAAGGTAAACGGAATTTTTCAAGGAAAAATAATTAATTTTTTTTTTCTCTTTTATTATTCCAATAATAAATATGATGTTATCGATAACCTGCTATAATATATATATACGTAAATATAATTAATCATAATCAAAAAATATAAAAATATATGAAAGTATTATAAACTGGCCGAACATTGGAAAGATTTACGTATTATTATTTCTACATGATTGCTTATACGTAATACTATAACCGATAATCCATAATTATATTACTTATTTACGACTAATAATTTACCGATGAATCGCATCATTATTTTCAAAGTCGTTAGTTTAAAACGACATTATAAATAAAATATAAATGTGAACACTTCATTTTTAATTTTTGGCGATTTCAAACATATTTTACGATCGCAACTTTATTAGCTATTTATGTACACTGTCCCGAGGCTTCCTGAAATAAATTTTTATGTGCTTAAACGAGTTGCTAGTAAGGCCTTTTGTAGACGTTGTTATGTGCATACTACTATTTACATCTGATCCGCGTGGGCAAGATTGTAACTTGCTCGGACCGGTGCTCAATGGCAGCAAGAGTTCCTTTCGACTAGAACGATTCGGTGTTATCAATATGTACAAAACCATTTTAAAAATTAAATAACACTTATGATTTCACCGGTTGTTCTCGATTAATTATTATAGTTGGATTCGAAATTGTTAAAACACGTAATTATACGTTTGAGCCAAAGCCTCCATATTTAAAATTGATTTTTTTACCGAAAGAGCAGTAGGTATCAGCTCTACGCATACATGCATGTTATCTTTATATCGGTTTTCTATTTCATGAGATTTACAAGTGATAAAAGATACTGTTGCACTATAGTCGCATTTTATGAGGAGCAATTTGGGAATTTTAAAGAAGTTAAACAGAAACGATTGTTTGCGCTTTAACTTGCGTACGTTACTGAAATTTTTAAAAAAAAAAATTATTTACAACAAAAAATCAATGAGATTTTCAACGACTGTATGTATAAGATAAAACATCAAAAAATCCAAACCATTTAGCCGAAAGGAGATATTTAGCGTTTTTTTTTTTTTTTGCCCGCATAAATTTCAAAACTGTTCGTCATACACGTCAATATTTTAGCAACGGAAAAAAATTAGCCTAAAGGAAGAACCGTAGGCGTCCCGGGTCCCGCATATAGAGTATGTATGTGCCATTCACCAACCGGTTCTATCGTTTTGTATGAATGAGAAATGTTGGTAAACAACAATATTGAAACGATTATTTATTATTCATTCTCAAATAATCCACAACAGCTGGCGTGTATATGAAATACGCGCGCGCGCAATGAGGTGTGTACGAAAATAAAACCTGTTTACCCGAGTACCTGAGATACTGTTGCGTGACACACGACGACAATGATTATTATTCCGCGTTGCCCGATCGAAATCGGAACGGTTTTAAAAAACTGTCCCCCGGTCCGTGTAGGTCTCTGAAATGTTTGTACGAATTGAAACATCGGTTTCGTTCCGTAGGCGCATGCTACGCGCACCGTTACTATTTTTTTTTCACGATATTTTATATCATCTTCAACCCGGGCAATACGATCCGCGAGTCTAAATAGTCTAATTAGTCGAGTCTAATTAGTTGCATATTTTAATTTTTCTGAATTTAATTTTCACGCTAGTCGAATTCTCGTCGCACGCGAACAATAAAAAAAGTATAAAATACGGCTCCCCTAACCCATTCTAATTGAAAAAAATAATAAATACTATATTTTAAGATATTATATATATTTTATGATAATTAAAAAATTAAAAAATTAAATATTCATATCAATGAATCATATGACTGTACGTCGTACGATATTGTTTGCAAGTCGTTTTACTCGAAATCGTTTAAACGCAATTCCGAGGGTGTTTAGGGATTCAAGTTGGGAAGTAGGTATTATACTACATCACATCGGTATGAAATTGCATATTATTATAAAATGCACGGTATAATTACACTAAATCAACAAAACTATTTCATGCTGCAGGTTTGAAAAAAATAATAAATGGTTTAATTTGACATTTTTAATAATATGGAATGGCTTATAAGTATTTGCTTAATGTATTTTTTGAAAGAGTAGCTTTTTATTTTACTTTTTAATATTCAATGTACCTACACTTAATTTTAAATTAATTTATGTGATGTTACAATAGTTATTAAATAATATATTTTTTTTTATTTTTGTGTCGGTGAACACTTATTTAGCAAACTAAACATTTAAAGAGTTATATCATTTTTAACATAAATTTAACTATCGCAATTTTATTCAAATCGGTAAAAAAAAAGAACATTGAATCAGAAATAAAAATAAAGAATCTCAATTCTAAAAAAATGCATGTATCTGTTAACATAAAACGCAACAAATAATGAAGTATATACAATCAAAAATTATTTTATAGCTATTTCACTACGTTTCTATCAATAAATCTTGGATATCAATCAATTTGCCACTCTTTAGCATGAAATTTAAATAGTATTTAATAATAATTAAAAATACTACGTTTCTAACTAAAACGTTGTTAAACACACAATAACTTATTTATTTTATTTGAATATTAATTTATCATAATTATTGTATAAAATTTCGAATTTGTTATTGTACATCAACTATTTGGTTTTAAAATTTCCTTGGTATAGACAAAATGTAAAAATGTCATGTTTTTAATTTAAAATAATTTCCTTTAATTTTGTATGTATATTTGACAATATAATAAGTACATTATAACCCATAATTAAATTTATTCTTTTGATGTATATCATGCTTCAAAATCAATTCAATGTAATATGTAAATAATAAACAAATAGTTTATACATAGTAATAAATAAATAAATGCTTACTTTGGAGTATTATTATATTTGTAAAGTACGACCGGTTTCAAATAAAAAATTCATCGTCATGTGCATAAAAAGTCAATAAATTGCGACTCTACGAGTACTATCCATTTATTAATTTTTAATTTTTATTATTTTATTAATGAAATATATTTTTAATAAAATACATTAAATGTACAAATTATTGGCAGCTTTAGAATATAATAGAACTATTACCACTTTCAAAGTATAAATATGCTATGTTGATTTAAATTATATTTATATTTATCTTTAAGAACATGATTTGAATAGAAGATACTTGACCTACCTTATAAACACAATCCACCTATGTTTATTGTAATAGCTACAGTAAAAACATTATTATTATTCATTGTTATAAATTTATAGCCACTCACAAATATATAAATTTCAAAAATAGTTTTAAATTATATTCCATACGAATTCGTTCCAGCAATAAAACATAAATAAAAATATTTATTTTTTTTTATCATCCATTTTAAAGAGATTATAATACAACGTTATTACATCTCAATATTTAAGTGTTGATTATAATACATTGAAGCATAATTACAATAGTAGTTCAATATAAATAGTTAAAACCAGTTTAGTTGTGCTATCATCACAATTAAAGATATACTTAGATATATAGAATGGTATTATTTGATTTTAACTGTGATAACACGTTTAATCACTACGTTACACCGGCAACCGTGTCCAGTGCCGGATCTAAGTCTTAAGAAGCCCGGTGCATATACAAATTCAAGGCTTCTTTACAAAAAAAAATGTACTCAACATAATATTTATATATTTATTTAATACATTTTGATGAATTAAATAACTAAAAAAAAATGAAATTTAAACACCTTAAAGGCAACACGTTATTTTCTTTCTTTATCTATCACATGCGCAGTATATGAATTTAGACGTTTTCTATTTCCAACATACCGATCGATACATTAATGCCATAAGGATTTTGAAAACTGATTTAAATTTGTCGTAATCTTATTTAGATCTACTTTCCCATTTTTTTTATTTTGTCTCCCAAAATTTCGTAAAATAGAATTAAACAAATTGGAAACATAAAAATTAACTTTTAGTTATGTTAATTACAAAATTTAAAAATTTGAAAAAGTCGATCTAAAGACTTTCCTACGAATACAAATAAGTTTTCAAAATCCTTATCATTTTAATAGATCGATCAATACGTCGGAAATAGAAATCGTCTAAATCCCTATATAGTGCATGTGGTAGAAAGAGATAAAAAATATAATTTTTGAAGATAGCTTGGAAAAAAAACCTTGTAGATTTTATTTTGTTCTCTAATTATAATTTATAATCTAAATTTAAGAAACACTTTGTACTAAAAAAATTATGCATTAATGATTTATATTTTGTAAACGATATTTTTATATTACATTTTTATATTGATCCCTATAGAAATAATAAAAAACATTTAAACCCCCCCTCCCATTAAAAATTCTTGAGCACGCTTTTGAACTTAATAATAATAATAATATTAATACAATAGCAGTATGAAATTATTAGAGTAAAAAGCACATTTAGATATATAGAGAAATTAAACAATAATAGCAAGTATGCATGTAACAAACTGATAGATGATTAAAAGTTATAAAAGTTATAGCTAAAGGCATAATGGCTGTTGGTTAATCACTAATATAGCAGCTAATGGCTAATTACAAAATGGTAAAATATTATCAGTGTAATTTAATTGAACATTATAAAAATTTTATTTGCAGATGCAAGGCATTAGTATTAAAACTCCAGACAAAGGAGTCTTACCCACCAGCAAAGATATCGGAAGGTGAGTTAACATATATAGAACAAGAAATTGAAAAGTAAATCTCATATTATCTCTACAAAACAAATGTTTACATATACCATAGACCAGTGGCTTAATTGTGGGGGTCAAGGGGGGGCAAGTGCCCCTATGACCATTTTTTGAGAGATAAAGGTATAATTTTGCCCCCCCCCCCCAGATAATCCAACAGTATAAATAGCAGCTTTTATTAATGAACTCTTATGGATATTATTTAACAATATTGGTACCTAGTACATGCTACCTACAATTTATGTTTATCTAAACCATAAAATGAGTTAAAAGAGTTATGTAAATCAAACAATCAGATATACCTAGTGTATAAAATACATACAATAAAAATGTGTTTTAACTAGTGAGGGGGAGGGGTGTCAGGGTTTTGGTAATAATAAATATATTATATTGCCCCTCCTAGGTGTTTTCCCAATTACATCACTGCCATAGACGAAATTAACTGTTTCCGTTCACACTCGTAATTATAAATAAATACATAAATTAACTACTAGAGCAATACCTAGGAAAAATAAATTATCATCTTTTGCTGTTCATTTTTGTTTTCAACTATTAAAACTATGTAAGTATTCACCTCCATAGAACCAATACTGTTCAATTGTTTTAATATAACCTTATCAACTATCAACAAAAAATAAATATAAAATAATGTATTCATTTAAGGTTTAACCATCAACCTTTGTGTGTTTTTTTTTAAATTTATATCGTCTCTATTTTATAAAATTGTAATTAATATTCGAACCAATTTCGAATTGAATATGTGTTTGATTTAGAATAATTAAACAAAACATAAATTACCAAAGAAAAGTACTACGCTATTGTAATAAAACAATAATTTCAGTGCAGATTTGTCATAAATGCATTGTGTAATATAAATAATTAAATATACAATGTGTTAACGCTAAGAGAGATGTACCCTTTAACATTTCAGTTTTATAACATTGTATTAAATGGGATTTTCGAGAAATGATAGGAAGTACCAAAATACACAGTTTTAGAGTATTTTTTTTAAAAAAATGTTTGTACAAAAATTTTTTTCTAATTACAAAATTGGCAAAGTTGTAGTATGCTGAAGTTTAATATTTACAAATGATACCAGATTATTTGACGAAATCTTCATTGTGTTCAATTTAATACTTGAAAATCAAAATAAAATCTCCGACATTATTAAATATCTGTTTGTAGGCAGATAAAATATAAATAAAGAAGTCTCAGGCGACATTTGTGGACTGATGAGTCTAAATTTACAAATAATGTTAGGTATAATGAATAAACAAAATCATAGATTTTGGGACAATCAAAACCACACTGGTCTCGAAAAACTAACTTTCAAGGTGTCTGAAGTATAAATGTGTGGTGTGGATTAATCGATAGACAACATTTAGGTCCTTATTTTTATAACGGGACACCTTCAAATAAATTATATCTCGATTTTCATGTAAATCATTTTAAGTTACTGTTAGAAAATGTTATAATAGCCACACCGGAAAATATGTATATACTTACATGATATACCAGATGATGTACCTATGGGGATATTTAAACTTTTGTTGGATTTGCAGACCCACCTATTTATGTGTAATATTTAATTAATTAAAATACAATTGGCACGTAATAATTTGAGAAAAAACTAAATAAACGCTGCTACATCGAAAGAATTTTAAAATTTTTGGAATCTTGATAGAAACATCAAAGCGGATAAGCCTTAAAGAATTTATATGATAAATCTTTAATTGTAAATAAATAAATCTTAATTTTAAATTCATAGTGTGTATATTTTTCTAATTTTCATTACAATCAATATTTAGTTATCTTATTCTGGAAGTATGAATGACAAAATTGGAGTAAATATCAATAAAAAATAAGTGTTTTTTTTTATCTTATTTATTTACAAACAGATATCGGAGATTTGATTTTGATTTTCAAATATTATGTTGAATATAATTAAAATGGCGTCAAAGCCCGATTATTCATATATAGGCTTAGGGACTTCTAGCATTTGCATACTTTTTTTAATTATTGTTAAATATAGTAGAGTGCAAAATAAATTCGTTTCTCGGTGCCATGATATTAGATCTAAAATTTGAATGTGCATATTTTTGCATATTTGATAGATTTTGCAATAAAGTGCATATTTTAAAATTATTAAGCTTATTTTCATATTCTGACAAATTTTTCAAATTTTATTATTTTTATTACTAAAATTAAAAACTATAGATACATATAACATATATACATATTTCAACCGATCGAAAAAAAATATACAAAGAGGACTTAATACTTCCAGTAATATGCTATCTGCAAACTACCTCTCATATTTCGTTATAATTTTTGTGTAAATATAAATAATACTATAAATCTGTATCGACCGTATAACCCGCTGAATATCGATCGGATGTCCATACAGATAATAGTCGATATAGAAAAATAGATTATTTGTTTAGTGTTCAGTTCAGTCGATTATTATCTGTTGTTGTTTATTAAATAATTAAGAATATAAATTACTAGTCTATCATTATAATATGCTATCATCATAACAGAAACACAAGTTGTAGGTAATGAACTGTAAATTATTTTTAAGTTTATATTGAAGAAAAATTAGTTTCGCCCCCACCACCCATGCAGTGCCAGATTAAGGGCCGATCCGCCCTAGAGAAAATAATATTTGCCCCTCTCCCTCTCAAAGAAATAAAGTTTAAGTGAAACCAGAAAAAAAAAATCCTGGTTTCTATGTATAAATTAAAAAAATAAAATACTATTATAAAATATAGGTACCTAATATAATAATTAATCTACTTAAACTAAAAAGTATAAATAGGTATAAATGTTAGATACATAATATGTTATAAATGTTTAATATCACAGAATAGTTTTGCAAAGAATTTTTTTAAGCAAATGGAAAATACTGACAAAATAAATTTTAATAAATTGGTTCAAAATATACAGATAATAATTAAAGTAATAATTACTTTAATATTAAAAAAATTATTTAAATGAATTAAAAAATGTATAGTTTAAAATTATTTTTAATATTAACGCCAATTAAAAAAAAATACTATAATATTTAACAATGTATACATTATATATATTTTTTTTTTTTATAATATTAGTTTTTTTTTAATTATATTTTTTCATGAATTTAATAGTTACAAGTTTTTATGTTAGTTCTTTTCACTTCATTTCCTCGACCAAATCAGATTCTACGCATAAAATTGATAAATTGGACATTTTTTTTGTATTAATGACAATCTTAAATCATTTTTTTGAGACTTTTTTATTTATGCCACCCCACTAAATTTGCCACCTTGGAGCAAATGCTCCTTTTGCACCTAGGTTAATCCGGCCCTGCCCCCATTGCCTCAACTCAAATACGCCCTTGAATACAAGATCATCAAACCGAAATATTTAGTAGTACCTCTTAACGTGTACACGATTTCACGAAACTACCTTATTGACTTAACCCACTCAAGAACCATAAAAATAATATTTTCGATGTAGGCTTTTTTGTTGTATATAAATCATATCGATATATTATTAAAATGGTATACGTTTCCGTGAACTTGGTTGTTATTTCAGTTATTTGTTTTCACACTATATCCGATACAATACCTTTAAATAAATATTAATTTTTTGCATTCATACAAATATATGGTATGGATAGTAAGATATTGTGTACTTGATTATATTATTACGTATAAAAACAGTACACAAAATGAATACTTATTGCGGTTTTATTTTTAAAGTGTAGAACCCTTATTTTACAAACATAGTACACCTAGAAATTGATTGAAGGCAGAACCGTATCAAACATTTCAGTGTCCCAGGGAAAAAAATTTTCTTCGGGGCCACTGGTAGCATATTAAGTGCAGATAAAGGCGTTCACTTACTTTTACAAAACTACGGCACCCGGGGGCAATTGCCCCCTTTGACCCCCCATTAACATGGTTCTGATTGAAAGGAACTAAGTTTCCTTAGTACTCTCTTCGTTTCCCCATTGCCCGTTACAATTTTTTCCATATAATACGTTGTGAGTTCGTAAACTCAAAAAAAAAGTTGTGTCCGACCCAAAATTTATTTATTTTTTTATGTACGTACGTTATAAGAAATACATGCAAAGTTAAAATCGGAATACTCTACATTTTAGACGAAACAAGAAATTGAAATTTTTACCATGGAAGTTCAACTGTTATGTATAGAAATAACCAAAAGTCGGAAATATTTTAGTGGTCACCTGTTGTTCGATTCATCACAATTCGAAAGCAAAAAAAATAATAAAAATAATCTTTTAGGTACTCGTTGTTACCCAAAATCTGTATTTTTCATTATTAATTATCCAAATAAAATACATGAAATGTCGCACTTTGTTGCAGCTTCGGAGCGTCATTGAAAAAACAAAAAGAAATCAGATTTTACGTGGTTCGTCACGTACGTGTTATCGCCAAATAATGGACCTTGAACCTTAGTAATAAAACATATGCGAATAAAAAATGAAATGTTATAGAACCTAAAGCAACAAGGCCGTATACTTCGGGCCGTGATTCTGAGTAGTTCAGTGTCGGTTAAGACGACGCATCCGAGTAGATTTTAGTCAGTTCTCGAACGAACTGAGCCATAACCGTATCTTGGGCCGCGTTAAATCGTTGTCAATAAAAATAGAAAACGCATGTAACGAAAAAACGACCCGGGTCAGGCGTGCGACGATGGGCGTCATAGTCTGAAAGAAACCATCGCTACCGCTTACTCAGTCCACAGACGAACGGATCTGACAGATTTCTTTTCTTTTTTCAACTCCTGCGATTTTATCGAAAAAAGCGTCTTTTATTTTTACGGCCTGAAAACCCCGACTGACGATTTACTGACGTTTTACAAGACGTTTTACACGGGAGAAAAATATAAAATAACCGATGTCGCTTACTCACACATGTTTCCTCCCGTAATTTACACACGGTCGTAATTCCGTTTTCGTAAGCGTTTTCAATAGATATTTTAGAAACGACAGAAGTCGTTCATAATAAAAAGAAAAACGGGCTCGTTAAATACAGAACGCAACGCGACACAAAGGGTGAAAAATAATTTGAAATCGTATTTACCAATACTCTATCTAACGGACGATATTGCGAACAGTAATCACTTTGTACGTGCTCGAATTGAGGTAACACAAACGACGCGGTAGATAGCGCTATCATAATGTTCTCATGATTAAACTCAATTGCATTTTTAGGATAAATTATTGCCATTTAATTTTATTATTCTTGTTACTACCTATGAGAAAATGATTTTTTATTTTTTCACTCGAAATTCAACACTTTTTTTCAGCGTGATTCCGTCCAACAAGTAAACATTGAATTTGAATGTCATGATTAACACCACATGTCGACTCGATCGTTTATGTCGGACATTTTTCTCAATTAAATATTAACCGACCACTTAATTGCATCTACTCCTCACCCCTTCGTTAACTCCAAAATCAAAAAGTTATTTGTATTTCATATAATAGATTAAGAACTATATCGACGGACGATGAGTAATGATGTTTAAACCAATGAACCATGCTTTGACTCCGACGGACAGCATTCAACTTCGCACGCAGAATTTATGTTGAACAGTTCTTCGACTATAGTTGCACGTACCAACGGTTAAAGATAATAATATAATTTCAGCAATCGGAAAGTTTTTAGATGGTGGCCGAGAGGAATTTAATTGATTCTGGGACCCCTTTTTTTAAACGAACAAACGACCTTGCCTTTTTGAAAAAATCCGCCATGAACAGCCAACTCGTATTGAAACATAAAAACAGGTGACCCGAGTAGAGAATGTGAAACGCAAAAACATTCCCCGTCGGGTACAGCCATCAATATCCCTAACACCGCCGGCTGACAACTCTTAGACCACTCCGTTTATACATTACTATTTTTATTGATTTTTTTTTTCTATTAAAAAATGTGTATTTTATATTAACATCTTCTTCTTCTTCTTCTTCTATGACTTCCTATTCGTTCCGAAAATCATATCGGCAATGCTGTCAAGTGATCGACCCTGTCAAGTGATGTCCGAAATAAATCATTCAACTGATGTTTTACTAATACAACAGAGATTCTTCAGCCAAGATATCCTTCTTCTACCTACACTTCAATTTTCTTATACCTTTCCTTATGATATAAGCTAGCAAGGCCGTATCTGTGGGGGGTCCAGGGTGTCTGGACCCCCCCCCAAATTTCTTCAATATTTTACGAATGTTTAAAATAATTATTTATTTTTAATACCAACATAAATATTTTCAGTCAAAAATTACTTAAGCTCCAATTAACCATTGACTGATTTTAGTTTTATATCATAATATCATATGAAAATATGATTTTAATTTTAATAAAAGAATATTAAATCTTTTTCTGTCTTATTTTTAACCAAATATCAAAAGTTAAAATCTAAATTCGATAAAATTACAATATACATGTTTTGGACCCCTCCCAAAAAAAATTTCTTGATACGACCTTGTAAGCTAGAGTATATTGTATCGCTGATTATTTCTCATTGTGTGTCTCATGTATTCAAGCTTCCGTGATTTTATTGTGGTTAATAGTTTTTTCAAGGGTTTTTTCTGATTACCCATTATTTCCAATATGTACTCTTCAATTATTAATTCAATTTATCCTTGACATTTTTAGTATTTGCTTTTAAAACTACATTTTAAAGGCTTCAATTTTTTTTGCATGTTACTCTGTTAGTGTTCAGATTTTGACTCCATATTATAATACAGAGAACATAAAACAACATACTCGTAATACATATAATATAATATTATTATTATAATATGTATTGTCTAAATATAAATAATTATTGGAGTATTCTAAACAATATGATCATGTATAATACTATTATAAATAATACATATACATATTTTATAATATACATTTTTACGTAGTTTGTTGCTGGGTCTGCTGTCATCCTCGTGTCCCTCGTTATAGGTATAAATAAAACAACTGTCACTATACGAATGCGATTGGACATGAAATTTTCTATTTTTTCATATACTATATATTATTTTTACTATCGTCACAGAGATCAAAGTTATGTATCGTTTTTATGAACAAAATCCCAGCGGCCGGTCGTCAATATTATAATAACGTGAATGTTATCGGAATTCCCTTGCATGCTTCATACACTGGTATTATTTTGTCGCTCGTCAGCTATTTACGCGTATGCAATGGCCACGTATAGGTACGTTTTCGTATCGCCGTGATTTAATTCGTATACCTACGAAATATTGATATTATTGCGTTTAAATTCCATTGCACCGTCGAAACGAAACGATGTCCGAAAATAACACATAACATTAAGCCTAGCGTTTTACACGGGCGCGCGTGTCGACGACACGTCTATTATTAGCCGTTTATCATAACATTCGAAAGCCATTAGTCGTAGCAATACGTCGGATAATCCGTGCGATTGAAATTTCAATACTTTTCCATATAATACTTTTCCACACCCGCATGTGTTGTCTCCGTCTAACAAACGTACGTAACGTAACAAATTTGCGTTCAGTATTTCAAATGTAGTGATGTTAGCTTTAATATTAAAGTACACTGACCCATATCAAACTTAAAAGGGAGAACATTATCTGTGTTTTATTGATCGGTATTTTCGGATATTTTAGTTTTAAGCGGCTTATAAGTAGGCAATGGTGGTTTCACGGAAAAAGATCCAGGGGGTCTGGACTAAATTATTCGCTCGGGATGCTCGGGTTTAAAATTCTATGTTAGATATTTTTCGTTTATAAGAATTAAATTTAAGAATATAAGAAATTAAATTTAAGAATTAAATTATAAATTTAAAATGGGTTAAACATTTTTGTGTTTTAATATATTATTAAACTGAAACTCGAAAACTTGTGTTCGTATCGTCGTTAACCGTTCAACAAACGGCGTGGCGAAGGTATTATTTTTAAACAATTGTTCTTACGAAATTCGGTGGCAACTCTTTGGGTATAGTCATATCTTATTAACACATACAATATTATAGAAACTTATAAGATGACAAGTGTAATAAATTAATTATTTAACGAATTACGAATATCTGTACTTTAAATATGTTTTCTCTCCTCAACAAAAATTAATTAAACACGCCAATGACGTGTTATATGACGTCTTAGTCACAAGATTAATTTTTAATGCGATACAACGTAAAGGAAGAAAAATTATGAACAAGAATAATTTGTATCACAATAATAAATATCTTTAATCTCGAAACAACCCTACTTCTGGTTTTAAATAAATTTATTGTTACCACAAATTATAATGTCTTACAACAACTGATTGAACCGTAAAAAATTACTAATTGTTTTTTCTTTTTAATTTTTCGGTTGAGTCATTCATTATTTGTTAAACATTATCACATTAATTTCACTTATTGTATTATTCAAAACGGTCAATAATAAATTAATATTGCTATCGCTGTAGTAATATAAGTATAACATTTCAACAATTACAACCAAAATATTTTATATTTTTCCGGTGTAAAATGTTGCAATTAACTATTTAGGTAAAAAAATTATCATTTTCGATTCAACATTTAAACATTAAGAAATCGTAAATAAATACTATACATATATACATATATTATGTATCAAAATGTGTGTATACTATGTCCTATCAAATTGTTGTTTTTATTACTATTGTAATAAAGACATTCGATATTAGTCATTTAAATACGTATAAATTAAATTGTTCCATACGTAATATAATAGTCTTATACAAAACACAGTTAATTTAATGTACTGAAATAACTATTAAAAAAATCATGATTCATTATAATATAATGGGATATTATGGTCCTTCGTAACTACAATATTTTCAACTTGTAAGGTTATATGAAATAACTGAGCGTTTGATAATATTTGTTAGGTATGAATAGATTTTTTTGTTTCAAATACTAATAAGTAATTTGAGGATTAAATAGTCACTTGCTCTTAATGCCTTCAATAAGTTTACAAAATCATAGAATTGTCTTTAAACATTTTGTGAGGTAGGATACAAAGTTAAAATTAGAATTTTTTGTTATACCAGATTACTTAAAATTATTTTTTTCCTTATTAGTTTCAAATAGAGCTCTTAAAACACGTGTCACGGAATTCACGTGTACACGTGAAATACATGTTTATCCAAAATATATATCCATTTTTACACTGGTAAAATTAGTAATTTTATGTTATACACTTGAAGTTTTAATAAAATATTAATAGTACTGTATTAAGTTAAGGATATATGTTTTTATTTTGGATTTTACACGTGACACGTGTATTAGGAGTTCTAGTTTCAACCAATAATATTCACAATATTACATACTTAAAGTATAGGAACTACAATGGTTTTAGAATAAAAAGAACAGTTATAATCAATTCGATCGAAATAAAAATCCTATTTAACTGCATGGAATTTAGCCAACTAAGCATTAATTAATTATAGTAATTTATGATCATATTTAAATTTAAGTTAGGATTATAGTTCATCATATTTAATATTATTTGTCAGAAAATTTTTTGTTTTTCGACTGAAAACTTATTCAATTTTTGATACAAATTCACTTTACTTTTAGAAGCCGCAGAAAATCTCGATGGAAGCTTAAATTTCATCATCAAGCATTACCTCCGGAGTATTTGAACCACTATGAGGCATCAATGACGTCTCCTCAACCATCTCCAGGAATTACACCCTCACCTGCATCTACACCAGTCTCTTTTACGGGGAATGTAAAATCTAAACTTCCTCCAGAAGCTCAGACTAGCGTCCGTTTCGATGATCTGCCGTTCATGGGAGAGATGACTTTAGACAATGCAAAACCGCGAAGGGGTCGCAAACCAAAAAAGGTAAATAAAGTAATAGTATTCTAAGTTTCAATAAGCTTAAAAATAAATAATTTAAATATTACGGCCAATAAGATTGATTTTTATTTTGTTCAACATGTTCATTTGATTGATCTTGATAAATCTGTATCATTTACACTATTGATTTCTTAAATAAAACCTTTTATTGACATTTTTTATTTGAAAATAGTATGCACTAGACATATTCAGGGACGGCATGAGGGGGTGGGCAATAGGGGCAGTTGCCCAGGGCCCCGCGGTTCTAATTTAACTGAACTTAAAATATTTTATTAATATAAATTATAAGACTCAACATTTATTTTGCCCTGGGCCTCGCAAACTCTAGCACCATTACTGGACATATAAGACCAATTTTAAAATAAGATACAATTAAAATTAACAACAAATTTAACATTGTTTTATGTATAATATTGTATAACTGCAGATTTACCAAAGTCACAGAATGCATATAATTTATTAGTTTGTTAATTGAAAATAAGTAGGTAGTAGTAAAATCTAAAAAACAAATTTGCAATGAAATAATGAAATAAAATGAAGTGTGTTGTGAAAACTGTACCAATAGTAATTCTTATCGTATGTTTTTATATGTTTTTATTGTGTTATAGGCTGATATATGTCATTTGATTTATAAAAACTACGGTACCACCGTTGTAGAAGAACCTTTGAACCTATGCGTCAGAGACCAAATATCATTAATTAGTGATTTTCAAATACCAGGTTCCACGGGGTCAGCTATTCAAGAAACAATGAATCTTCAATTGAAAGATTCAAAACGCAAAAGCAAAAAATCGTTAGCCAGAGAGCGTTTGGAAAAGACATTTAAGGAAAAAGGATTCTTAATACAGACGCAACAACTGGAATCCGCCCAAGGAGCCACTTACTGTAAATTTAGGCAGTTGAGGAAATTCACACGGTATTTGTTTAGAAGCTGGAAACATCACTTACCTGGTGATGTAGTAGACAACGGTGTCAATAGTCAAGTCACTTGAATGTGTGTTATTTTTATACGAGTGAACTATATTTAAATAATTCTCAGAATTCTGTGCACAGACGAGTGAGAATATCTAAAATTGGAAGCAAAATATTATAAGAGACATTATTATCGAGTTAGTCATTTCCTTACAGTTTCCATAACCATAACAATGGAAACAATTTGTGGGACTAAAATACATTTATGTTAAGTAATGTGTTCTATTTTAAAAACCATTTTCAAGATTTTAATCGATTTACTTTTTAATATTAAAATCCCAGGTGTAAGTCAATCAATAAAGCCGTAAGTACACGATGTTGGTTTTATAACTCAAATCTTTAATATTTGTTGTATTTATTATTCATATTATTATTATTATTATTATTATTATTATTATTATTATTATTATTACACACAAAATAAAATGTTTGAATTGTTTTAAGATATATTTAATTTTTTTTTCATTTTATTCATTTTAAAAGATTATTAGCACATAAAAATGTTAATAAATATGTTTTATTGTACACATCATTTAAAATTATGGTTTTTAATAATACGCAAAACATTTAAGAAAATAATTGAATAAGTTAAAATCCAAAAGAACATAAATAAAAAAACCTGATCATCTATTTGTAATAATAAACAATTTAATGATGATTTATAATAATACTTCATAAGTATATGCATAGATAACATATTGATAATATTTATCAATAGCAAAGCTTGGGTTCTGGATTGGAGGTGAAAACATTTTAAATCATCAAATTGAGCGGTAGTATAGTTAGTTATAAATAAGCACCATTTTTATTAATACTTAATAATTGTAAACTCATTTAACACTTAGATCACTCTATAAGTTAAATCTATTTTTCTATATTTTGTTTCTGTGAAAATATTGATAACTTAATCAGTAAGTGTATGATTTACACTAAGCTCATTTTTTTTACGGACACCGGAATATTAAATCGCGATATCGATAATGTTTATTCAATACAAGCTAGGGAAACACAATAAAGTACAAATTAATTTCCATTGTTCAGTAGGTATAGGTACTAGGGATATTAACAATGTATCGTTAAATTGAAAATATCGATGTATTTGTCCGACATATCGATAAATACTTCGATAAATATTCACAATTGATAAAATCATTCATAAAATCAAAATATTATAACATATTTCAACAATATATTTATTTTTCATTTGCAACAATAATAATTATAAGTTATAAACTTAATATTGTTTGAGCACCCTGACTTCGCATTGCTTAACATTGGCCCCCTCCTGGCACGTGACAAACTGATATTTCAGAAAGACTGACCAATTGACGGTCGAATTTGTTTTGTTTTTGACGTCGATCTTTGCGTATTACTTGTGTCGCTCCGTTTTGTGGATACTGTATGTTATTCCTCTATAACCCTCATATACGTGGTTTTCGACTTTATTTTCATTTTTTTTTCTTAGAGATATATGTATTAATATCGATTTTCATCAATATTAAAATTACAATATTTATCATGATCTTTGATAATGATTTTAGATTCTGAGCGGAGCGAGGAATGTAATAGTTTTACAATGATGTTTATTTCTTTTTCTTTTTCTTTTTTATTCTGTTAACATTTTTTTCCCCTCTAAACTTGCTCAAAAGTACAAAGGGTAGCATCTTTTCCGAAAGGTAATGTTCATGAGCTGGTACTTTAAAAAGATCATTTTTCGATTTTCGAAACGGTACTCGAAATAAAAGCGGTTAAAGGAGAAAAAACGTACGATTTCACGATTTTATAATATTAAATAATTACGAACGACGTTTTCTACCATAAATATTACTTCAAATGACAAAAGATCTTTTTGTTGTATTTTGGATTTTGTTCCTTACGGTTTAAAATTTGGAAAATTTTAGCTATTTTTGAGCTATTTATAGACATTTTAATTTTTGGAGTTTTTTATTGTAATTCGGTTAAAAACATTCGAAAAACTTGAAATTTGAGTTGTTTGCTTATATTAACCTTACCTAGACATGGTAAAATTTTCCAAACATTTGAGCGACTTTTGAACTTTTTCTTTTATTTTATATTTTTTTTCATTTTTATGATATTTCCTAATTATAAATTATAATTATAATTATATAAATTACCTATTTATATAAATCGTTCTTAAGCTGTTCTTAAAACGCTTTGTTTATCACCATAGAAACGAATAAAATTAAATAAAAATGATTCCCTCGTCCGCTCAGAATCGTTTTTTATCGAATGCAATCATTGCATTCAAATCGAATACAGTAAAATTACACTATCCTGCCCGAGTTATTTTATATCGATATTTTAAATATCGCACCTTTGAACGATATTTATATCCCTAGTAAGTAAGTACAGATAATGAGACTAAACGTATTTATTTATAGTGATAACCAGGGTTCAGGAGTTGTAACATTTGCATAATTTTGTTATTTATTGTAAAATATAACAGTAAACGAAATTAATTAATTTATCGATGGCATAATTTAAAATCTATAATTTGAATGTGCTAATTTTTTACATATTTCATAGATTATGTAGGAAAATGCTTATTTGCGCTTATTTTGTTTAATTTGACAAATTATTCAAATTAAAAAAATAAAAACTATACAAATTTCAACGTGCATTAATATGTACCGGTCTACCAATTTGCAATTCATGGTTCGTTATAATTATTGTGTTGAAAAAATAACTTAATTCTTAAAATATACGATGGTCCACATCATCCATATCGCCCGATATAATTATAAAACGTTCATGTTTTACCTAAAGGTATTCTCGACAAATATACTCGTTTGGTTGACTAGCGGTCAATATTTGTAGAGTTATTTAATAATTTTGTATACAATTCAAAAACTAAGAAAAAAAAGTACCAATTCAAAAAACTGATTAATTTTTAATGTGTTTATAGTAATTTGTTATGTTAAAAAATGTATAACTATTAATACCACAACTAATTAATAATTATTAATAATTAACATATTAAATGCATATTTCACCATTTTAAGAGCATATTTTAACGCTTTTTATAGAGTTTTTAAGTGCTATAAGTCCCGAACCCTGATGATAACCAATAATTTGGTGTATAGTTCTCGATTAAATTTGTTCATGAGATATATCTTTTTAGTTACTTGCACGCGAAACCCCTCTTTTCGTCACTTATCACACTATATGGACATATATATGAGGTATACTGCCAGTGTCTACTATCTGATCTTTGTTATTTGGACTTATTGCTCCTTGGCCGAAAAAAAAATTATGTATGCTTATTGTGTATATATATACTTCTATGAATAATAGAGTAATGATAAACATAATTGAGATATAGGGTTATGAACATTTAAATGTAAAATGTCAGTATATCTATAATATACAATAATATTTATTATAAAATGTATTTTTTCTTTCTGATCGAAAGTAATTTATGCTTTAATAGAAATAATAAAATAGAAATCTTGGAATCAATAAAATCACATTCATAATAGTTTTCATATTTATATAGTTTAATTAGTGAGTTTATAATCAGATACGCTATTAAATATGAAAAATTATTAAAATATAATAGATTTAGTTTTTTATGAAAGGATATTTTATGAAGATTCAATTAAAGACTAAAAAATGATGTATTTATCTGTGATAAAAAAGGTTCTAAACCATGTATGAAAATGTTTTATAATACTTTGTTGAAAATATTTTAATATTGTAATTATTGTATTATATGAATCTTGATTATTTTGTTTTTTATTTGTATTTACATTGTTAAGAAATAATATTTATTTATGGTTGAAATATATTATTACCAATATCATTAACAGAGCTGTTAAACTATTCATGTTTTTAAAATAACAACGAATTTATTGCTGTAATATTAATTTTTTTTTTTTTTTTTTTAATAAGTATCATTTTCCTGTATTTTATATTTTTAAATTTAATCATCTTCTTGAGTTCGTTTAAACTTTTAAGTGTGAAAACCAAATAATGTATAATATTATAATATAAATGATATATAAGAATCCGGCATATTTTGTAATCCGAGCATTTAAAAAAAAAAGTACAATGTACGAAATATAATTTTGATCTCATAAAAATAAAGAGGAAAAATTATATTTCAAATTTTAATGTGTTCATCAATAAATAAATAAATTGTATTTTATATAAACAAACACTATCATGTTGGAACATCAATCCCATCAACCGTATTTTATGGTATTTCACCAAATTGCAAACTTACAGTATAATTTGAATAAACGTTGTATACAACTTATAAATATAATATAGATATAATATGGGAGGGGGGCAAAGCTCCCCAATTACCATAAGTTGATTAAATTTTAAAACACCCCCGTTAAATGAATCCTGGATACGCCATTATATACGTATATATATATATATATATATATTAAAATGGATAACTAACAAGAATAAGATGTTAATATTCAAACGATGGAAGAATATTATTTATTGTGTATAATTTTATATTTTTTACATGTATAAATATATATATATATATATATGTTCATAGTAAAATAAATAATGATTAATGAACATTTAAATCATTAATATAATTTCATATTGTGTTAAAATTGTATTATAATATATTATTGTAGGAACAAAGTAATATGTGATCATCGATAACAACTGAGTCGTCAATGACCAATGTGTTTTTTATGCGAGAAATTCTTTTAGAATCATCTTTTTTACTGGTTGAATAAATAGTAAATAAAAAAATTATAGTTATAAAATGTAAGATTATAACACCAAAAAATCCGAAAAGTACTACATCTTAAAAATGCTATTAAAACTCTAACAAATAATTTTGTTATTTGAACTGTATAAAAACAATTCATAATGGTTGTAATTTATTTTAAGAATTGTTGATAAATGTGTTAATTGGCATATACCACAGTAAATATATATTCATTAAATATAAAATTTCCTGTTTCCTGAAATAAATTGTATTTGAACGCTTAACCGCTATCCAGATTGACAGTGATTATTATTTATAATAATCATCATTCATGTATTCATACACTATACACTACTGCAGTGGTAATTTTGGTGGTGAGGCAAATGAGGTGGTGCCTCACTTAAAAATTTAGTAATTATATTACATTTTTGTTTTTTCATTTGTGTAATAAATTATCAATGTTCAGAATTGTCATAGAAAAATGTCAAAACAGAATATTAGATTTTAATACAAACATTATTCCATGGTTAATAGTTATTAATAATATGGTATCAGTTTATACGGGTGTACGGATCATGGGGCACAGGTTGTTTCAGGCTAAAATTATACGCGATTTTGTTGCCCGGAGTCGACTGGTCTCGTAATCTTCTGACCGTATCCGTAAGAGCGACCGCTGACGGTGCCTCTTACATGTAGGTGGTGTA